ATGAAAGTAAGTGTTTATTAATGTTTTGATATGAGCCCCCCCCCCCCTCCCATCTGGTTGCCATGGTGATCTGGCAGCAGTGTTCAGGTGTGGCACCTTTGTCTGTGTGTGTTGAGTCACTGTCTCACCTCAGACGGGACACACCTCACACACACACACACACACACACAGCTGAAATCAGTGCCTGCAGGCCAAGAGTTTTAACACAAACACACACACACACACACATAGCACTTCATCACACACACTCACTGCTCAGCAGACACACACAGGAAACTCTGCACTGCTTGTTTGTGAACTCAAATCTCATTCACTGATTGTATACAAATCTGAACATTCAGCTCACAGGAGCTCTCAACCTGAGCTAAAGCTGCTGGTTAGTGCCACATCACTACCACAGGACATGAATACAGTGTTCATCTGTCTCATTTATCATAATAATGAATCATGATTACATTCCATCTCCGTTACTTTGAGGATGTGAGTGTGTGTGTGTGTGTGTGTGTGAGTGAGTGTGTGTGCGCGTGTTGATTCATGTTATAAGGGTGTGACGCTGTGAGAGAAGGCATCACAGACACACTCACACACACACACTCTCACACACACACACACACACAGGTGAGCAGCTCCTGAAATAAAAGCCAAACACACACGGCACACACTGCATTTGAACACTTCTCACACACAGAATAAAATTTTCCTTTACGAATATTTTTCGTCGTCATCTTCGTTGACGAAATTAACACTGACCCAAACAACCACGCCCCTATTTTGAAATCTCAACCCTACACGTGCGTACGCAACCATGGCGGAAACAAGCAATGATGCCGCACGAGATCATTGCAAGACACGCCCCCTTACTGCTGATTGGCTGCAAGTGAGTTTTGGGACTTGGTCCGACACTGTTTTTCAAAAATCACTTATTAGAGCACCTTTAAGTAGCACAGGTATATTTGCAGCAATAGCCAACAATACATTGTATAACCATTTTTCTTTTATGCCAGAAATCATTAGGATGTTAAGTAAAGATCGTGTTTCATGAAGATATTTTGTACATCTCCTACCGTAAATATATCAAAACGTAATTTTTGATTAGTGATATGCATTGCTAAGAACTTCATTTGGACAACTTTAAAGATGATTTTCTCAATATTTAGATTTTTTTGCACCCTCAGATTCCAGATTTTCAAATAGTTGCATCACGGCCAAATATTGTCCTATCCTAACAAACCATACATCAATGGAAAGCTAATTTATTCAGCTTTCAGATGCATACATCTCAGTTAAAAAAAAGACACTTATGACTGGTTTTGTGCTCCAGGGTCACAAATATGGTTTTGTTTGGTGCTAAAAAGGGTTCTTTTATTGTTAAGTGCCAAGAACCACACCCAGAAGGCTTGCACCATCGGTGCATAATGAAATTACATTTTCACAGACATAATAATTAACAAACCCAGATTCTGCAGCCTGAGGTGACGCTCGTCATATAGAGAAGTTATAGTTTGCTTGTGCAACATTTTCATAGTAATTAAACACAACTTTCACTAGCGGTTTTAAATGAGTGTTAGGACAAAATGTTCTTAAAGCAATGTTTATGGAATGTTCTTATAACTTTTATATAAATATATATAAAATATTTGATTTATGTTCTCATAACATTGAGAGAAAGCATTCTGAGATCAACATTCTCTGGATAAATAAATAATGTTCTACTCACAAAAAGAAAACTGGACGTTTTCTTAGAACATTTAAAATAAACATTTAAATAATATTACATTTTGGGTAAAATAAACTTAGTAGAACATTGCAAGAAACATTTTTGTAACCTTTAAATAACATTATATTCATGACAAGAAAACTGGACATTTCAGCGCTCTTGGAATATTAAAAATAAACATTCAAATAACAATTTCAGGTGAAAATAAAGTTAGCAGAATTTTGCAAGAAACGTTTTGTACCCTTTAAAACACATTCTAATCACGACAAGAACTGGACATTTTAACGTTTGTAGAGTATTTAAAAAAATAAACATTCAAATAGTGTTATATTTTGGGTGAAAATAAAGTTAGTAGGATGCTGTCAAAAACATTTTGTAAACTTTAAATGTTATAATCACAGCAAAAAATAATCACAACATTTTAACATTTTAGAAACAACGTTTTTCTAAGCTACTTTTACAGTACTGATTCGTTTATGCGAGAAACACCTGAGACTAAGTTCACACATGACACTGAGAACTAATTTAAATCTTATAAGCAACTAAAACACAGTTGGGTAAGCTGGTTAAATGTCTAAATCACACTCTCCATGTCTCAGTGGAAGATGAAGTGCTGTCCGTGTGACTCTCGGAACCCGGCGGCCTATAATGCGCACACGATCCAGAACGTGATCTCCAGCGCCGGGCCCAACCGATGGTGGCAGTCTAAGAAAGGTAAGGCATCAAAACATTACATTAAACATAAATTACAACAATAGAATACACTATTAAGCTATAAGCCAGTAGTAGTTCAGACAGTGTCGTGTAAACATGGACGAATAATGCACGAAAACAGAAGAACAGAAAAATCGATTCAATTAAGTGAGTCATTTACTCTGGATCAACTCCGGGTGATTCAAACTCATGACTTCGATCATTCAGTTCAAGCAATTCTCTAGCAAAAGAACAGATCAAAAGAACCATTCATTTTCGAATTTTGACATCGCTTGTAACGGAGCTTTTCGAAACTCTGAATCAGTTAAACCGCTGCGTCTCAAAATGATTCGCTGTTTTGAAGCGTTCTAATCGGATCGCAAATCATTTGATTCAGATCGGGAATTCTGAGCGTGTATTGCGAATTATTTGATTCAGATGGGAAGCAGGTTTGTGAATTCTTCGTGTGACTATTTCACAAATCATTATTCAGATTGGAATTCCGGACTGTGAATCGCAAATCACGAATAATTTGATTTAGATCGGAACTTTGGGACTCTAGTTCACAACTGAATTGTTATTTAGATTGGAACATTGGAGTGGGTTCGCGAATCATTTTAATTCAGATCGGAACTAAGCAGGTTCGTAAATTTTTTGATTCAGATCGGGACTAGTTCGTAATCGAATCATTTGATTTAGATCGGAACTCCAGAGCAGGTTCACGTATTTGATTCAGAACGGAACTAAGCAAGTTCGTGAATCTTTTGACTCTATTTCGCAAATCATTATTCAGATCGGAAGTCGAACCGTGAATCGCAAATGATTTGATTTAGTTCAAGCAATTCTCTAGCAAAAGAACAGATCAAAAGAGCCGTTCATTTTCGAATTTCGACATCGCTTGTAACGGAGTTTTTCGAAACTCTGAATCAGTTAAACCGCTGCGTCTCAAAATGATTCGCTGTTTTGAAGCGTTCCAATCGGATCGCAAATCATTTGATTCAGATCGGGACTTCAGAGCATGTATTGCGAATTATTTGATTCAGATGGGAAGCGGGTTTGTGAATCTTTTGACTCTATTTCGCAAATCATTATTCAGATCGGAAGTCCGGACTGTGAATCGCAAATCACAAATAATTTCATTTAGATCGGAATTTCGGAGCGGGTTCGCGAATCTTTTGATACAGATCGGAACTAAGCGGGTGAATCTTTTCATTCCGATAGAGACTCTAGTTCACAACCGAATTATTATTTAGATTGGAACTTAGGAGTGGGTTCGCGAATCATTTTAATTCAGATCGGAACTAAGCAGGTTCGTTAATTTTTTGATTCAGATCGGGACTAGTTCGCGATCGAATCATTTGTTTTAGATCAGAACTCCAGAGCAGGTTCACGTATTTGATTCAGA